ACTAAACATAAGATTGTAGTCCATTACAGGAGTGAGCTTGGAGCGGTGATTACTTTACAATACACACACAGGGATCGTGGGGAACAAAAGTTGCAACCCTCCAGAAGGAAGGACAGTGTCAGCACCAATTCAGAGTTGATTTGAGTATCTACTGCTCAGTGATGTACAAATAACCTACATTTTTATTAATAGTTAATATACTTGAATACATTTTTAAGATTTAACTCCTCAGTTTAGTGTCACTTTAACGGCATAGACTGTCATTATTCTTACTTGAGGCTGAATACCATACAAGCTTACATGTTATTCCTTTGTCACACCTGCAGTGTATCCTAATTGAATTAACACTTAACAAATAGCATTTTGCCTCTGTTAGTGTGGCTGCAGATAGCCACGATGTTTGCAAGCAACTTTCTCTATTCAAGCGTCACTTACAACAACTGGGTGAGGATCGAGTTGTGAAAACTAAAGGCTTCCCAAGGTTGTGATGTTGAGCACATTTACCCATAACTAAGGAATCCTTATCAGACAGAAATTTTCATCTTGTTAAAAAAATTAGAATAGACTGTTCATTGATTTTATGCCACAACAGTTGAGGCCTTAGCATTATACAATACCCTAGAAACAGCTCATTGATTAGAGATCTGTGGGAGAGGAATGCTGGTGCTGCCTCGGTACAGAAGGTGTTGATAGGACAGGCAATAAATAATGATTCTGCCTTTGTCCTTTTGGCTTTTGCTTCCCTTGGAAAGCAGATGGACTGCAGCAGATCAGTGGGCCATGTTATGTCAAACCCTGCTATTAGTAAGGAGAAGCCAGTGATTGAATAAAAGGTCTTGCAAACCAACTCATTGCCTTTAGCCTGTATGCTCATGGTAGGTCAGTTCCCACAATCAATAAAGGATTCCTGCCAAGAATAGCTCAGTAGTCTCAGCATAAAATCCTTTGGAGCTCTACATGTCTAAACTACACCTCAATGCCTTTTATATACCACCCACAAGTTTTCTCTTTAAACATACCTTTTGTATATCTGAGAAATAATGTGACCACTGTTACACAATTTATTTTGTGCTGAAAATCACAGTTCTGTTATGCTTTGCAAAATACTGTATCCAACTTTCATTGTTGCCCATAGAAATTATCAACTTCTCCTTTTCTTGTTTCTACTGAATGTTGTATAGGAATGAATCAGCAGAGGAAGGTCTAAGCACCACACTCCAGAGAAACAGAAAACCCAGCATGCAGCTGGAAAGGGGCTTTTTTAGGTGCACAGGTAAGGCCTTCAGTTAAAACAGGGCAAACTTTATTAATCACATAAAATGTTAAAACAATGCAGATTAAAAAGGGGACTAAGCTTCCACAGCTAGTCTATACACCATTAATAGATATCTAGTTCCATTGTGTCATAAATACATTCCAGTCCATCAGAATGACATAGATATTGATGCCAAAACACTGCAGCTTCCTCAACACGTTTCGCCGGTAACGGCTTCCTCAGGAGAGTATTTCGGCAAGCTGTGATATACAGTATTACAAATAAACCATATTTGCTGATGAGTTTCACAATTAGTATAACAGAGATTGTGAACATTAAAGTTTACTTTAACATCTTACTGTGAGCCAGTATGGAATGAACATGAAGTCAGATAAAAGGCACGTCCAGACGACGGCTCCCCCAGGGTACGTAACCACAGTGCAGGGAGCGCAACCAGGATTGCATCCAAGGGAGAAGTCAGTTTCCATCCACTGGCTGCTTAGGCAGTGATCCTGAGGTTATGCTCCCTGTACAGCAGTTACAGCAGGTGAAATGCGTTGAGGAATTCTGATGGACTGGAATGTATTTATGCACAATGGAACTAGTTATCTATTAATGGTGTATAGACTAGCTGTGGAAGCTGTGGAAGCTTAGTCCCCTTTTTAATCTGCATTGTTTTAACATTGTATGTGATTAATAAAGTTTGCACTATTTTAACTGAAGGCCTGTTTCTCTGGTAGATCTTGTTTCTGCTGAAGGTTATAAAATTAATGAGGGTAGCTGACTGGTTGCTCAGGAAAGCACAGTTTACATTTTCCTCACAGTGTTGATCATAGTTCCACTTCCACAGTCCACTATAGCAGCATTCTTCCACCTGACTAAATCACCCAGTTGCAGCATGCCAGCCATTCTTATAAAATCCCATGTGTTTAGAGTATGTAATAAGAATAAATATTTTGAGATTTTTTTTACACGCAACTATTGATTGAGACCAATAGTTATGGGCACTGAACCTGATATCCGGTTTTAGGGTGGCTCATTTCACTTGCATGGTCCTAAGGAGCCACCCTTGTGTGTGCTACTAAGCTGTGTGTGCCCCCCAAACACTCAGGCACAGCAAGGCAAGCCACTCCCATGCTCCCTGTTTTCTGCTTCTCCTTCCTTCCTTTTCCAAGCTAGTAGATGCTGGAGACTGCTCTGTCCCTTATGATCTTGGACTGAACAGAAAGTTCAGTTGAAGCTGAGCTGAGAGAGTTGGAGCTAGCTGTTTGGAAACATGATGGCTGTAAGCGCTTGGTCAAAAATGTAAAGAAATTCTTTCCTGGACAATGTGCGGTATATTTGTTTGATCTAGATTCATTATTGAAAAACAATTTGAGAGTTTAATACTACCTTAATGGGGTTAAATTGACAATTGATTTTGACCGTAGTGACAAGAAAAAGGAGCAGGATGGAAATTTTCTCTCAAACAAACAAAACTCTAACAGAAAATACGGTTTTCATTAGATAAACTAAATTCATTCCAAAATTAAGAGGGTTATTGACAAAGCTAGCCGAAGATTCAGCCGTAGCTTCAGCTGATCCTTCAGCTAGCTTCGGTTGCAGGAGCCCTGCAACCGAAGGGCTGCTGTACGGGCTAATCACCATAGCCCGTAGAGCTCCCAAATGCAGCCGAGAGGCTCAGCCGAGCTGAAGGCATATGCTTCGGCTCGACTGAGCCGAAGTGACAGCTGCCCAGTTGTAATGACAGATCAGCGTCCCCAAATGACCTGGGAACGCTGAACTGTCATTAAACAATGACAACTGGGTGGAGCCCAGTTGTTATTCATTGGTCAGGACCTGCTAGAAGACTCTAGCAGGTCCTGGCTAATAGGAAACAGTCACTGCTAGCTCTGCCAATTTTTTTTTTTATTTTTTTTTTTTTTTTTTTTTTTTTTTTTTAATTTGTTATTTATTTACATTTTAAATATTTTTTTATACTTTTTTCACTGATTTCCTAATTTGCTTGGTACCACGGAAGTACCGAGCAGAATAGCCAAGCCGAATGTCGCTCGGCGGCATTCGGGTATTCACTCACTGCTGTTCGGCCCCTATGTGAATATGGGCGAACGGCAGTGAGGGAGGTGCCGGAGCTATGGCTCAGCCCATCCAGATGTTGGTTCAGCTGAGTCGTAGTCCTTCTGCACTTCGGCTCAGCCAAGCATACAGAGCATGTTCGGCTAACCGAAGTGCAGCCTAAACCAGCCGATGTACGGCTGAAATCAGCCATACAAGCCTGAAGTGAATAGCCGAACAGCGTTCGGCTGACTTCACTTTGGATGAGTTATTCACTAGGCAGCTTTGTGAATAACCCTTTAAATGTTGAAATCAAACGAAATTTGGAACGGCATCCTACAAATCTCTGATGGCATTATCGAATGTTCTGATGAAATTTTTTTGTATGAAAGTTCTATGAAAATCTAACAGCTTTACAGTAATGCTTATCACTTGATCACTTTGAATTATCTATTCTCTTTTTAGCTTTTCTTTTTTTCTCAGTATTTCTGTTGTAGATGTTGGTCAAAATAATTAATTGTGGTTACTGTTAAAGTTTCAGCTGGCCCAGAAAATATATTTTTAGAGAGTCAGCTAAGATGAGGCTTATGCAGGAATATGAATATTCTTGCCTAAAGTACAGGCCTAAAGATTGATATTGTGCCCTTGTCAACTGCCTAACCTTGCACATTCAGAAGAAGGGAGGCCGTGCGTGAGATCAGGCAGCTGACAGGCCAGCAACTGTTAAACCTTAAATGATCACTGACCCTCTGATTGCCTTAGCAATGGCAGCTCCCATATTTCTATCTTGACATGTGCCTTTTAGAATTTGGATACATGCCACTGACTTGGATTATCCAGTTCATTTTTTATAATTCTAGAGATCTGAATGCAGATCTGTGCATTTGACGTTCCATGTCCATTCATTTGCTATGGCCATTTTGAGTCGGGTCTCACTCTTACTGTGGAATTTTCTATTTATGTTGCCACACTGTTAGTTGACATTACATTGTGAATGTACATAGCCAGCATCAGTGAAGGCGATATTGCTGCAATGTCCAAGTGATAGGAGAAGGTAATAGGTAGGCTGACCCACCAGCATCCACACATGAAAATATTTTGATATCACCAAATCTACATTTATTTTAAAGGACCACTATTGCAATACCATTGTGATTAATTTATGTGGATCATGCATGTACTGATTATATTAATTGAGGGAGATTTATCAAAATGGGAGCAGACATAATCTGAAGCAGTTGTCCATGGCAACCAATCAGCTTCTATCTTTCATTTTAAAAGCTTAACTGAACAAAATGAAAAGATAAGCTGATTGGTTACTATGGGAAATTGCTCCAGATTCCATCGGCTCCATTTTTGATAAACCCTCACCACTATATTTATTTTTTTTTTTATATGTTTCCTAAAATTTACTGTCAAATAAACTGCAAAGCAACAGAGGTAGAGATAGAGGGTGGAACAAACTATAACACAGCCAGAGGTGCTTACAATGGTTACAAATTGTTACTTGGTTTAATTCTTAAACAAATCTGTCACTGCAACTGCCCAAATAGGTCTTTTGCATTTGAACATTTTAAAAGGGTGACTTAAATAACTAGCATTAGATTCTTTCTAATTTTTGGTCATAGGGTCTTATCTCTATTTACTGATTAATAGTAAAGATGCAAGCTATGTTTTTGTCTATTTTCAGACATGCTACAGGAAAATTCCCTGACTTCCCTGATGAAGAAGATGGTGGATCCAAGACTATCTTTGCTCAGAAGACACCAGAAGAGGTATTAAACCACCATAAAGCATCTTATACTGTATAGACTGTATGGTGCTTCTACTTCTACTTTCCAGTATAAATTGTGAAATACGTAGATTAGAAAAAAACTGACAAGGCTGAAAAATACCTGATACAATAATTGTGATTAAATGCAGGCATTTTGTGTCACCTGCAAATACCTGTGTTAGTCTTTAGATCCATCCCTGTGTCACTTTGCAACACCATGTGGCATCTAACCCCAAGCACTACAAGGGGCATTGACTCGTGCCTAAGTGAGGATTAAGCCTTTTCACTTACTGGTGCTATGCTACCTCCACTCCCCACCCATCATTAGAATTCCTGGATGGCCTCTTGAAGTTATGGCATTTGACAGCTACAGCCAGGGATTAATGGCAGTAAGGGGATGGGCCTAAATTTGACTTGGTCAGTTGGTCCGAGACCCTTATGCTTTAAGACTGTTGATAAAAGTTTTAGAATAGGACAGGTTTAGTTTAAGCTCCAACCATTACTGACACTAAGCCACACGTGGTTGTTCACCTTTCAAATGCCAAGGCATTACACAGGTGAATTATAGTGAGGGGTTTTAACAGGTAAGGTCAGGGCTTACCGTAGACCCACAGAGAAATTGGGGCCCTGTCTACAGCTTAGACCTATGATCCAGGGGGCTTTACAGGGATTGGGTACTGGTGGGCACCACAAGGTGCCTGCACTTTAGCACTATTGTTACCATAGGCACTTTAGAGAACAGTTTGGCTTCACTTTAAGAAAAGGGGTAGGAGGGATCTGTGTTTAGAGAAGACTGATTTATTTCTACTTTATTTTAGCTGTCAGCTGTCACTTTGTATCACTACACAATAAAAGATTGGAAGTGATACCAGATACAGCATGACGATTCCATCCATGGCCCCCTGCAAGCCATTTCCTTTCATTTGCAGAGGTTTATCGTCACTGTATCTGCAACTTTGTGGAAAAGGATCCTAATCCCTCTTGTGCATGTTACTGCCCTGCTCCAGCTTGGTCTTTGTACTCTGGCTCCTGTCTTTGATCCTTGGAGCGATAATAAGTATCAAATGTTAGCACATGACACCGAATACCCCTGAAGGGAGGTGCCTACACTGCTAAGTCCAGTCAGGAGTTTGCCGCCATGTCAGAGTCTAGCTCTGAAATTTCTGATCACTTCCAGCCTGAAGCTTTCATTTAAGAGACAAATTCTTTCCAGATTTTGATATCATTATTTAATTAATTGTAAAGGTTTGGGCAGATGTTATATGCCATCTCGAAAGACCACTAAAAAAAGGACTATTGTGTTACAAATGTCCATGTTAAACAGCATGTTAATAATAACCTGTCTGTATCCTGCTGTCAGTGCATCATCTGCTAACAGACTGTAGGGTCTGAAAACATCAGTGGACACAGAATGAGAATGGAGAGCAGTGAAGATGAAATAAATGTATGTTAAACTCTGCCAAGGAGGCAGAATATGTATCATACATATTGTGTCCAGACGGCAGCAATCCAGAAGATTCCCCCTTCAAACCGCTAAGCTTAAGATGAAAACCTAACATTTAACCACATAAATAATCCAATAATATAGTAAATAAAGCAGAAAAGCAAATGAAAGACATATGTATACCTTTGCCCTGTAACTAGGGATGTCCTATGGTATGTTAGTTATCTTGGCTAGGACACTGTATGCATTCTTAGCGATAACTGACAAACTACTAGACTATTCTGGTCTTTATATTTAAGTAGTTCATACATACAAGCACCCGCTTTGGACAGTAAATGTATTATCATTTAAAATAAGTCCAACTCTTTTAAAAACCTTTTTGTGAATACTATAAAGAAAGGGTTAGGACCTCTGTTTTTTACAGCAACCTCTACCTCCATTGGGGAGATTTTTAAATCTATTTTATCTTGGTAACACCAGGACAAGAAGTGAGAGAAAGGGGGTACACAGGGACAGGAAGGCACACGTAACAATGAAAACTTGACAGAGACTCTAAATTTAGACTATGCAATAAAAATGTATATATATTCTTACATACATACTTACCATTCCCCCAGCTTCCATAATGAGAGGGATGTCGTCACGCTTGATCCAACATGATCCTAGTAAATGCTGAGTAGCCAAAATCTTGCAGGATGAAGCTACAGAACACTACAGGAGCATATTCTCCCAAGATTTGGATTACTTAGCAGTTCCCAGGTTCTAGTGGATGGAATGTGATGTTTCCTTTCTATAACTTTTTTCCCCTACAAGTTTTGTTTTTTTGTTTGATTATTTATTGCAGATTTTTGGCATTAGACGAAGACACATTAAATAAGTGGACCTTGCAAAGTCCACTTAAGGAGCTTATTCACATCAGCATGTTTTAGTAATGTGCAGTAAAACAAGCCCATCACTTCAAAATGTGCTAACACGCCATGCTCACTGTAGGTCATTGCGGTGCTGTTCATGCTAAAAGGCACCTAAAAGGCACCTCTTTGTATCTCCAGAACACAGCTGTGTTATGTCACACCCACAATGCTTGATGCGCATTGCAAAAACAAAATGCAGCAGGACCTATTTTTTCACATGTGGACGTGAGTTAAAGTCCATTTTTTTTTTTAAGTGCACACCTCAGTGCACAAAAAATCATGCATTGTGACACACTACATTCTGGGGTTAATAGGTCCTGAAGTAAAATGTTTTTGTTGCTGCCTCTGTTCCTATTTGAGGGATTTCCCATTTCTTGAATGAAATCCAAGTTACACTGCGCTCAAGTGAATGATCTATTTAAAATGTGATACAAATATAACAAGTTTTGTCTTTGATGCAGTTTTCTCAGAAACCACTACATTCAAATGTGGGATATAATAAAGTGATAAATATCTACAAGAAAATAAAATCTTTCTGAGAAAACTGCATCAAAGACAAAACTTGTTAGATTTGTATCACATTTTATATAGATCATTCACTTGAGCGCAGCGAAATTTGGATTTCATTTGAGCTAATTTGTGTGTATTCCATACAAATTGAACACAGCAGATGGGTGTATCACTATCACCATAGCGCAGGTCCATTTGTACATATTTCCCATTACTTCCTATCCCTTTGACCCCTGTCATTGGTATGAGAAGTGGGGTTCATCTCCCCAGTGGGATTAAAGGAAACTGAGAGAAACATGGAGGCTGAAATTACTAATTATGCATCTGCTAGGTATTTATTATTTGTATTTATATAGCGCTGACAATTTAGGCAGCGCTTTACACAGTGCACATTCACATCAGTCCCTGCCCTCAAGGAGCTTAAAATGTAAAGTCCCTATCTCGCATGCATAGATTAAAAAAAAAAAATGTGTCATATAAGTGGAACAAGTATGCAGATAAGGATGTGACTTTCCTAATGTGTATACTTGTTTAGTTCAGTGACTCAAAACCCAGTCAGTGTGTAATAGCAAAAGAACTAGCATCATCACAGGGGACATCAGTGGTCTGTTAGGAAAAGAAAAATCGGTTTTGCCTGAATGTTTTTTCCTGAACTTGGGCTTTAAATGTAACCCGTTATTTTAGGTATGTGCTTAAATAGATAAAAACAGATAGATTTCTATGATGCCGACTGGTGAAAAATGTGATCCATCATTAGGCACCAAGAGAAAATAAATGTATTTCTATTTGTGCTTGGATTCATTTATAATTCAGCAAAGAGAGTGTTTTTAGGGCAGTACACAAAAGGTGACAATTATTTAATATTGTATGAGAAAGAAAGGTGAAACTGATCTCTTATTTGTATGGGAAGACAGGGCTGGAAATCAGGGCATCATTTGTCCCCAAGGCCAATATTAAAGAGGACTGACTTTTCCGGTCCAAAATAATTTTATTGAAAAGGTCTTCAAATAGGTAACAGATATATTGACGATTACTCAGAATGGGAAGGTAGTAGTCTTATGTGGTATATTTAGCTTTAAGGTGTTAAAAAATCTTTATAAAAACTGTAAAAGTACATTATAAACATAGGGGTCTATTCACAAAGCTGCCGAGGGCAGCCGAGTGAATGACCGATCAGAAATGAAGTGAGCCGAACACCGTTCGGCTATTCACTACTTTTTGTTTGTGTTTGAAACATGAAGCTTTAAAAAAAGCTGTCAGTCTTTCAAGCCCTGGAAACCTAAGCAGGGGTGGTCAAACTACCCTTCTCACCAATTTCACCATAAATAAAGTGGGTTTGGGATGAAAACAAAATTACAGGCATTTATTGCTGAACATTGAAGATGTCCTTGTTAAAGATAAGCATAGCAGCTGCAGCTGGATCACAATATATAAATATTATAAGGCCACTGTAAATCAGACCAAATAAAGATCACTCTTGTTACAGCTTGTCTGAGTCCATTCAAGTCCTCATTCCATTTTTCTAAGCCCTGATGAAGATGGAGTGGTGCTGTCCCTTAAATGCATTGACTGTTTTTTTATGTTATTCAAATGCACACAATTAAATGCGCTTTGGGATCTTTCCTCATGTGATTTAGTGCCCATTTCTGTATGTCTACACTTTAAAGATTAACAAAGCAGAAGAGTGAAGGAAAGGTAATTATATGGTAGAGAAGGGTTTGAGAATTGAAGATAAACTCAGAATTTAAAGAAAGTCTGCAAGAGAAGAATGCTTAGACCTGGGACAATTTATCAGTTAGGCATGGCATGGTCATTTGAAATAATTATTGTCATGGTACAGAGCAGTGTGGAGAACCCTTGCCTGACTTTCACTGATTACTCAGCAAGAGCAGCATGAGAAGTAGAAGTTAAAAGCAAAAAGAATTCCTACATTATGTCTGTTCTACAGCACTATGGTCATTGAGAATCTCACGGACTAAAGAATGCCTATACCTACTATAAAAAGGAACTTTCATCGTAAGTATATTGAAATAAAAAAAAATATTCTGCCAATGTAAAGCCTAGGTATGCGGACATCAATACATTTGTGTTAGTGAGAAAAACCAGAGCATTATGGGAAAATGTGGGAAAGTATTCAGAGCATACAAGCTCCACAAAGATGGCTTTAACCTCCCTGGCGGTATTCCCAAGTGTGGCTTAGGGTTAATTTTCAGTACCAAGAGCGGTAACCCCGAGCCACACTTGGGATTGCGCAAAAGTGTCACTTACCTTGTCCCTGCGAGCCCGCTGTGTGCGCTGATGACGGCATTCGTCTTTCAGTTTAGTTTTCGGCATCACAGCGGGGGGTGGAGCCGGCGGGAAATTCAAAAGTGCAAACATGACATTTACACAGAATCCACACAATACAATGTAATCTGCTATAATTACATATATGTATCAAATTTTTAACTTCAATTTTGTCCCTGGAGCTTTGTCCAGTGCCCTGCCTGCATTTTACTGTACTCTATTGACTGTGGTACGGATCACGCAGCGCCCCAGAATTCCCATTTACTGGACCATTTTTTTATTATTATATTATAATTTTTATCATTATTTATAATTATTTATTATATTATAATTTATGATTTCGTGTTTCAAACTTTATCATACCCGGGATGTCTACCGGACTCATGTTTGGACAGATTTAGGTGAGTTATTCCTAAGATTTACTAAAAATTACAGGCCTACAATATAAAACAACAAATTGCCATGAAAAATAATGTACCGCTTTGGCATGCTAAAATCCTGCATAATCAGACCGCCAGGGAGGTTAATGTGATGTGATATTTTGCACTATCCAAATATTGCATATCTAAATGTGTTTGAGTTATGAAAAATGTCATGACCCGCAGAGCATCATTCTTTCTTATATTTATCTTTCAGGTTGCTGCTGAGCTTGCAGCTAAAGAGGAGGCCAAAAATAAAAAGAAAAAGGAAAAGGGGAAGAAAGAAAAAGGGAAGAAGAAGGGAAAGAAGGAAAAAGATAAAGCTAAAGGGAAGAAGGGGAAAGGCAAAGAAGAGGTAAGAAGGCAGCTGTTCTGTGACACGTGACAGCTCAAAATGTTGTGCTGCTGCTTCTCAGTCTCAGATTTTATGGGCACAGCAGACATATGCAGCATAAAAACTCAAGTAGCTGGATCAAATGCCGTCAGAAAGACATATAATAGCAATACGGGACCTTTATAAGCAGTGTGTGTATGTTTCATACTGATAAAGCGTAAAATTTGAAATCCACTCTGCGTGACTTGGGTTGTATAACTACAGCAAAAAACATCTGTTATATCTGAATCCAATGGCTCTAATGTTTTAAAGTGGAACTCTGAATGAACAGCTAAATACATGGCTTCTGATTTACACTCTTCTATCACAATGCATAGCCATAAAAAGTACTCCACTATATCTTGGTTAAAATTCCTCTGTCATGTGTCAGCTCATTGAGCTATGAATCCCCATAGAGATAATGCTGATGATTCTTCAATCAGACTGAAGGTAAAGAGGTGATACAGAAGCTGAAAAGCGTAACCAGAAAGTAAGAGTGCCTCCTGACTTGATCTGCAGTGTGGAATAGATTTTTCAATCACAAATTTGGCTGAACAGAAATTTAAATCTCTTATCAGGTGCAACAGTCACTACATATGCATCAACGTTGCATAATTAGCTTTCCACTTTGAAGCCCCTTTGGTTGATTAATGCCATATGGTGATTAATGCCATATTACAGGAACACCAGTATAACCATAGGTGGTAAAACCAGACCATGCAATGTTAGGGTCAATGTGATGGTAAATGACCAGAATATATAATATGACATTACTCACCCACAGCTGGGCTTTAAAGTTCTGAGTCACCTCTTTACCTTCAGGCTCATTGAAGAATTACAGTCAGCATCATCATTGCATATTCTGATTGAACTGAATTGAGACACTGGAAGCTGAACCAAGATACAGTGGATTCATTTAAGATAAGAATGTATCCATTACTATGCTAATAGAGTGATGCAATGTTAAAGAAGAACTTTTCCTGAACCTTTGCAGTGGGGCTACCCCCGCACTGCAAGGGCTTAGTGCTCGTTTTTTTTCTAGGTGCTAAAATAACAAATATATACTCACCCGAAGCTCTGAGCCGGCCAGCTGTCACAGCGCTCTCTCAAGCCTGTCTCATCCTCCGCTCCAGCATTGGAATGTTCCTCAACATCCTCATGTCTATACATTGTGTATAGACATGAAGAGTTACGGGACCTCAGACTGCTGCACAGGAGGTGGAGAAAGGCTCCAGGGACTGGTCTAAGAGTAACCTGGCTTGGAGCATTGGGTGAGTATAACTTTTTAACCTTGACAAAAACTAACAGTTAACTCTTCCAGTGTAGGTGTAGCCTCACTTCAAGGGTTAAAAGTATTTTTTTCCTGGAGTCACAACATAACACAGCTTCCAACATTTTAAAGTAATTTCCAGGGTAACGTTACTGCTGGCCTATCTAGGCTAGTCACTCACAATACTTTTGGAGAGGATAGCTGTGGTCTATTTACTAAATTATGTTGTAAAATTGTAATTTTCAAATTGTTAATGCAAACATCCAAGATAACACAAGGAGAGAAGAGATATAGTGCCAAACCTTTGCCTGATATTTGGACGTAAAATAATTTTAGAGGCTACAGCAGGCATAGACCGGCAACCAAAGTTTTTTTTATGATAGATTCTCTTTAAACTGCAGATTGGAGGATCCAAAGTAAATATAAGTAACAATCTACTCTCTTTTTAAGAGTTCTTTTTTTGGGAAGCAGCATTGGCAGACTTTTACAGTCTCTTTTGATCATCTTTATCCAGTATTGTACAGTCTACCAGCTCCTTATTTTTCAGCTGACTAGTGAGAATAGCAGTTCACACTTTTATGTCTGGACACATTGGCAGAACAGCATACTTGTTTAGACCAACCATAGACCATTCTAAACCTAGTGCCCAAACGGGAAAACTCTTTTTCATGCTTGACCACCTAAAAGAAAATAGATATTGCTTTAAATACATGCAATATATTTTTTTTTAAACATACTGGCATCTTTTTCATGTAACCATGTTTCATGTAACCAGTGCCCAGCTCTTGGTTTTGTGTTCCACAAAATGTATTGTATCCCATTCCCATACTGTTCACCACACTCATGAAAGTAAACTTGGAGATATATTACCACTGAATCAGGAGATACACATTTCAAAGCACATAGCATTTTGGGATTGATAAAGTTAGTATTACAAATAATTGAAATAACTATCAGTAAAAAGACTCCCAATGTTAGAGAATCAGAACATACCAGTAGACAGTTCATGTCAAAACTTTTTGGACAATTTATTTATTTTTGGTATTTATATAGCACTGACAAGTTACCCAGCACTTTACTTTTACTGTACATTCACATTAGTCTCTGCCCTTTGAGGAGCTTACAATCGGAGGTTCCTATTTCACACACATACAAGGGCCAATTTAAACAGGGGACAATTAGCCTTCAAGCATGTCTTTGGAGTGTGGAAGGAAACCCACACAAGCACGGGGAGAACATGCAAACTCCCTGCAGATAGTGTCCTGATCAGGATACGCAGCAGGAACCCCAGTACTGTAAGGCAGAAGTGCCGCACGCCCATTCCCCTTTCCATCCAAAATGTTTAAAAAAAACTGTCTGAACCTAGTCTGTGTGTGATGGTGAAAATAAATGATATAACATTTATATTACTTGAAGTTTATTCATTACTTCACAATAAACAGGTTGTGGACTTGATGCTATTTTCAATCACGTCGACAGATGACAATGCACTAAAGACTTTGTACAGTAATTTATGATAAGAAGAGCACATATTTTAATAGAGTGATGCATTATGTATCTGCAGTATATGTACAGTATATGTATGTGGATATAGCACAATGTATGAGGGGGTAGGTGGTCAATACAGAGTGCAGTACACGTTTTGTAAATATTCATGTTACTTGGTCCGGAGCACCATTCAGCTCCAGTCCGGGAATATTGGAACAAATACTAATTGCTATCTGTGGCTTTAAACTTTTAGTCTGCTTCAGGCAATTTTTTTTATTGCTAAAGCCTACTATTAGGATCTGTTTTTACTGCTGCCAGATTGAAGCTGAAGGGTACTTTAAAGCTGGCCATACACTGGTCATATTTTTAATTTTACTTTTGTCTCGTGACTGCAGCCAATCAGATATATTTGCTGTTCGTTTATCCTGACAGTGGCACACTTGCCTCTGTCAGAATGCAATAGCTCAGCTAGGGGGCATTTCACCATCCATGCTGTTACTGTGGATGGTGGAACTGAGAGTTTTTTCTTGGGGCTGAACAAGAAAAATCTCATAGTGTATGGCCAACCTAGGGGCTTCAGTAAAGCTAACTTACGCGTTTTAAAGTTTTCCTCAATGCTTGCCACATCTGATGCTTTTGGGGCCATATGATATAGCTTTTTTACTATTAATATTTTTACTTTGTTTTTATTTGGCATATAGTCACATTATCCATTGAAATGCCCTTCTAAAGCATGTGTGACTGTAAAACTATATGGAATAATATGCAACACCAGCTTTGCAGTACAAAATCTGAATTGCTTATCTATTGTGAAATAGTACCTCAAGGTTTTTTCAAGTGGTCTGTTGAATATATATAAACTCTATAAATACAGTTCACAGAGGCCTGTTTCCAGTAAAATGTCCCAAAATAATTCTGGTAAAGCTGCTGTGGATGTTCTGCAATGGCCACTGGAATTGGCTGGGATGAGTGATCTACATGCAAGATCCTATGCTGGAAAGGATTTAGAGACAGCGAGTCTTTTCAGAGTACTGCCATAGGGGACAAGATCATTATATTATGCTATCAAAATGTGTTAACAAGTAACGCACTCTAATCTGGTCCACATGTTGTGTGTCAAAAACATCAAATTTGCCCCATTAAGCATTAATTCCATCTGGCATTAGTGTTTAGCATCAAGCAAACTTGATCCATCAGTGCTTTGGTTCATAGTAAATGTTTCACTGATGGAAATCTGCAACCTTTGTGTATAGTGTTGAGGCCACATAAAGCAATTCATGGCCATTGTGCAGGCTGCCATACTGACTGGACTAACTTATTTCTTTTTTTTTAATGGTCAGAACTAAACAATGTATTTAATGTCATGTTAATTTAATATATACTGTAGCATATTCAAATTTAAAGGATATTAGTTTCCTCGATCCATTGTTTCTTTGATGAGTGAAGTCTGTGGTTTTATGAGCTCAGTTATATAACTCAGTAAGGGTTTATGTCGAGGGGTGTTCTAGTCAAATGCTGCGTTTTTCATTCAAAGGCATTTAACCCCATTCAAATGGAATACGCAAAGCTTGTCAAGCAAAGGCTTCATTTGACCTGCTTTGCCTGCAGTTCAAATGCACCTTAATAAGACATTCAGAGAAACACAGCTCAATGCCAACAGGTCAGTAACAGCTCTGATCTGCCATGTGTAGTGCTCAGCTGAAGTCAATGTGATTTTGCTGACATGCATTTAATGTGCGTTCCTAATGCACATAAAATGAAGGAAAACAACGCCAGTTGACATGAGACCTTGATCAGAAAATCCAATCAAGGAAGCAGCTCTTTTATGCTAACTTATAGTGATCTGGAATAATACAACAATTTAAAATGTATACATTTAAAAAAAAAATAGCCAAAATAAAACTGAACCAAAGCCATTAAAGATTTCCTTCAATCATGTATAATCTTGACTTTTTCCGTCATCATGAAGTTTTTACACACATTGCAAACAATGAAGAATTCGATGAAACCACTCATCCTGCACCAAAACGGAAGAAAATTTGGAAGGTATCCCAAATGATTGTAAAGAATTTCCAACAGAGCTATGTGCCAGAAAGAGACATCAGCATAGATAAAGGTCTAATGGCCTACAAGGAAAGGCTCAGCTGGGTTCAATACATAGCATCAAAGAGAGTACGATTTGGCGTAAAATCCTATATGCTGTGCGAATAATCAACTGGCTACA